ATACATATATATAAAAATTCCTTTTGAATTTTTCAGAGGCAGCTGTTATTAATAATGCTGATTGAGAGACGTTGATGATCGAGGTAGATGAATTTAGAAGAATTTCATTTAGAAGAAAGAATTAAGTTAATTATAAGAAAAAGCCAGTTACTTTTTGTATTTAGAAGTTTTCGTTTGTATTTAAAGTTTTTGTATTTAGAAGTTTTCGTTTGTATTTAAAGTTTTTGTATTTAGAAGTTTTCGTTTGTATTCAAAGTTTTTTATTTGTGTTTGGAAGTTCTTTGTATTTGGACATATGTAATGCAAAGCAAGAGAGGGAGTGTTAAAATCAACTTGCTCGGCATTTCATATGTATGTGCATGCGCGTGCTTTGTGAGAGTGTGTGTGTGCTGTGCATTCAAGACTAGGCCTACGAGCCGCCTTTTGTATAAGCAAGGACCTCACTCCTTCTGCAATCGCTTAGAAGTACACAGCAATAAACACCTTTTCTTTTGTGACTCGTGTCTACGCTTGGTATCCTCCGACTTAATCATAACAAAATTTAAGCTACGCAAAAGTACATGAGAAAAAAAAGATAGTTTATTGATAATAAATGGCCCGACGTTACAGTAGCATCATGAAAAAATAAAGTCTATCGAGAACACATATAATTACTGTGTTATTTTTTTAACATACTAACGATTATTTTGCAATAACATCGAAGATTTACACGAAATCAATAACTTTCAATTCAAATAAAGACTGCTAGTTACGTTACATGCTATTTTAATTCCGAACTTATTCAAGACGGAGTCTTGATTAAAAAAGAATCATTATATTATTCGTATAAATCTACGATTTTATACTGTATATTTCGATCGTGACTGTTAGTATTAAAATGTATTATAAAGGATTCGTTATAATGATATTAAAAATACACCTGATGAGAGTAGGACTTGTGATTCGATTTTATTGAAAGTGATTCGTAGGTAAATTTTATAATCCATTAAAAAGTATTAATCAAATGCATATCAATATATTGAATGTTATTGAAAATAATTCTCATTTAATTTATTGGGGTATATTAAAAAGTATATGATAGAGGAATGTGATTGCACGATTTATAGTGCTAGATAGCTTATTGGAGTATATTCAAAGTTATTGAATTAAACGTGATTCAATATTGTGCCTAATCAAAGATCATTGAAAAATATAAAAAAGTATTATTTTAAACATGACCAACCGTCCGTTTTTAGAAATGTTTTTAAAAGTGATTAAAAATTATTAAGTTTAATCGTAAATGTGGATATTAATTATGATTCTTATTGAATATCGTTAAATATGATTCAATTTTAATCGCGCTTTCAATTACGAATCATCAATTTTATTGAAAGTGATTGCATTTTATTATAAGTCAATCAATATTAATGATTCCTAATGCTACTTGAATTGCGGGAAAACATTGAATAGTTTTTAATCATAAATCTGAATACCTAATAGTACTATTGATATCAATAGAATGTAATCTAAATAATTATTAATTGAATTTCATTAAATATTATTGATTTATCACTATATTTCTTATTAAAACCCAAAGAATGTTATTAGATTCCTAATAAATTTTAATCAACTTGGTTCACTGGCACGGGAGAAATCGTTTTGAATAGAATTTTAATTGGCATATGAGGGATTCAGATTTATGATTAAAAATTATTCACTTTTTTTTAATAATTTTCAATGGATTATTTTTAGCAGGGTATATACAAACCTTCTACAAAATATTATGGATTGAAGTATACTTATAGTTATTTTGTGTTAGAGGTGATTTACCCCCCTTAGGGATAATATTTATTAAAACACCGAAAGACGTCAATTAAATTTTGTTATTATGGATGTTTAAATATTTATTCTAATTTTTTTTAGTCGGTTTAAACTTTTTTATTATAAAATTATGTCAAAAAATATATGTTTTCAACCCCTAAAAAATAGGGGATGCTATCCTTACTCTTAAAATCACCATGAAATACCTGCTCCTTTTGTAAGAAATAACCTCCAATTTGTTTCACTGAAAAATATTAATTTTAAGCCGAGATATTAAAAAAATGCTTTTTGGGGGTTAACTTTAGGGGAGGTTTTTACCCCTTTAAAGTAAAAATTAGCCGATAAAAAAATAAGTGTTTCTTATTTTTTTGGGTTGGTTACCTTTCCTTGTTAGTCTGGCGGAAAGTTCACTCGCTCTCTAACGCTGCGGAGGGTAAGAACGCGAAACTAGACCCTAAATATGGTGGTAGTTCAAAATCGTTAGAGTATTATCACCGGAAATATACTATTTGCAGACGGAAAGCAAATATCGTGTTGCGCGAGTGCACGTGCCGGACTTAAAGCGATACCTTACACCTCGAAAGGTTAAGGGATATTAGTTGAAGGCAAGGAGGCATGTAGTCTATAGGTATGATAACTTGGATGTCTGTTATTTTATTTTTAAGGTATTGGTAACGACGATGGATAATAGAGCGACGGAGTTGGGAGCCGCCGCACCCTTTAAGCCCAACCGTTCCGCGCAATTATCTGTCGCGATCGGGATGAGCGTTCCCAACGTGTTGCAATAATCGATGGCGCCGGAAGCTGCGGGGTCGAGCCAGGCCGAGGGGTTCGCCGCTTTTCCTTCACGAGAAGAGCAGGCGGCCACTCTGGTTGAGGCTCCACCACAGCTTCTTGGCGCCTCGAACGAGACGTTTGATCGTGCCAGTCTCAGGTCGCGAGGAGTGCCGACTCCTCAACCGTTACCGGTGTGTCCGGTCCCTTTTGAAAAGTTGGGTTTGGTGAGCCTTAAAAAAGCAGGGCTCCATCGACGACGTTACGTTTGGCTGCTCCAGTACAGTACTGGGCAGAAGCCGTACGCAAGTGTGCGTCCTACCGCCTGACGTCTCTCGCAATACGTGAGGCGGCGGAGAGATTGCGCGTGGCTTCCGCCGCGGAGGGACTGTATCAACCCCCGGTTGATACAAATACCTGTTTAGGATCGTCACCGGATTAGCGACGTATCTCAATCGGTCGCTCCCCAAGTCCGAATTTCGGGAGAATGGCTAGGACGCGCGCGAATTCGCGAGGACGAAGGAGTCGGTCGCGATAGCACGGTATTATGTTCCGCGGGTACCAACGGAGTGTTGGAGATCTTCGACGAAGACGGCGCCTGGCGACGAGTGGCGCCTCAGAAGCACGTACATGAGCCATTGCCGTGGAAGCCTCTTCGGCTCCAGAGGCTCGATCTGGCCTATCAGTTCGTAAGGACTGATGGACCGGGAGGTCACGCGCCGGCTGGCTATTCGGCTGATGAGCGAAGGCGAGAACATGAAGAACGCGTTAACGCAGGACGGAGGCGGCGGCGAGCGCGGCTTGATCTGTCCTCCTGCAACATAGAGTCGCCATTGCATTCTAGGGATCCAGTGCCGCCGCTATTGGTTCGTGTGGTTGCGGACGCTGCATCGGTGGAAGCCGACTAGCGTCCCGTGACGACTACGAGTCGAGCGGCGAGTCAATCACTGACTCAAAGGCCTGGGCCCCGTAAGCGCGTCGACGGGCCGATGGAGGTGGAGGAGTCGCTACTACGTCCGTCGTCTCCTCTGGCCTCGTTGCCCGTCCTCCCCGTGCCGACAACTAGGCATGCCTCGACATCATCTGAGGCAACCTGGTTTGTAAGGCGTGGGGAAAAGCCATCAGTTGGGTCAGCCCCGGCGAGTGTGCCAGTTAGGGCTGGCGTCTCTAGTGCAGGGTTCGGACTCGTGAGGGGGGCTTTTCTCCGGGGATTGGCGTCTGTGCCGTAAGACGATCAGCTAGATCTCCCATTGTTTAGAAGCTTTAATTGCCGGACGGGCTCCCGCCGTAGGGCCGACTGCACGGAGCCGCCGCTTAGACCCGACTACTGCCATAATTGCGGACGGTTGGACACAACCGTCAGCGATTGCCCGCGATGTCGCCTGGCATACTCGCTTGAACAAGCGAGGGTTGATTCTAGCCGAGATGCTCCAGTACCGGTCTTGAGCCGCTGCCCAGCGTGCCGTCTGTCCCACAAAACAGATAGGTGCCACAGCAGGCTCCTCAAAGTCAGGGACCTTTGACAACGGGGCAGACGGTTCCCCTGGCTACCACTCCGGAGGTTATCCGAAAACCAGATGAACGGTGCGGAGTCGCTATCGCGAGACGGGTCCAGTTCGTTCTTGAAGGAGGTCACCCCGATGGATAGAGAGAGAGAGAGAGAGAGAGAGAGAGAGAGAGAGAGAGAGAGAGAGAGAGAGAGAGAGAGAGAGAGAGAGAAGTACTTGAATATATGAGAAGAAGAAAATATATATAAATGATATGTATTAATCACCCCAAAAACTTTTTTTACATTAGCATACTCATCAATAGGCAATATTCATGAAAATTTGAAAAGTAAATTGTAGACCTGACATTTGAACATTAAATGTGGTACGTTCAGCGCTACAGTTTTAAAAAACAGTCACTTTTGCTCACTACCGGTAGTGTTGGTACTAAATAATCGAACTAGATATTTTTAGTGATGTAACTAAAGTTGCGATTCGCGTCCGTATCCGTCCGCATCCGTATGTAATGTAACCGGGGCCTAATTGTTGCACATGAAACAACTACATTTTTTGTCTCTCTCTTGGTTGGGCTGGAGATACAAATTCAATTATCTAAAATTATTTTATTTAAAAATTCTGAGTTAACATTAGATCATTAAATTAAATTATCTGTAATTGCCAATTTTTTGAATCAGTTTAAAATTTCAATTGAACCCATGTCTATATTTCATACGTACTCTATGACTACAATTCAATATCTCAGTTTTGTAAAATCAAATACTGAATAAATTCACTTGTTAATAACTCTCGATTGATTTTAAACAAAGTAAAGAATAGAACGATTCAGATTGATTTTGACAAAATAGTACTAATTAATTTAGTGTTATAATCTTTACAGTGATATATATAACCTAACAAATAATTATATTCAAAATATAGAATTATAGCTAGTATTTGAAAATGGAAATTGAATACATGCACAGAAAATTGAGTTATTTAAGAAAAATACTGGAACGATCAGGACCATTCTGTCACCAAGACTTTGAACCTTCATCCGAATGTTTGCAATTTGTAATACAACACTGTAAAGTACTTATAGTTGGTGCCGGTGGATTAGGTTGTGAATGCTTAAAAAATTTAGCATATATGGGTTTTCGACAAATGCATGTTATTGATATGGATCAAATTGATTTATCAAATTTAAATAGGTAAGCTAAAATTCTAGCATTAACAAACAAAAATGAAAGAGTATTGTACATTTATAATTTTATGAGAAATACATGTTAAACTTGAAATATTGATTGTTTAACATGTTTAGCTTATACTGATGTCTATTAATTTTTATTATACCTGTGTGGAATATGTAAAATTACTGTGCACTAACTTAATTATTTATAATAATTCAATTATAACATACAATTAAAAAAATTAGTCAATTTCTAAAAAAAAAATAAACCAGTTTGTTATTAAATTATATAATTGAACTTTCGTGTTAATAATTTATAACTCTTATTATTGAAACAAAATATATCATTAAAAATGAGGGCCAAAGAAATCATTTCTAATATTTTAATATATGTGATTTAATATTCAGTATTACTTTGAAATATTTAAAGTTAAATTATCAGTTTAGTAATTAAAAGTAGTCAAGGATTGACAACATTTGTGTAAAGATTTTACCTAATTTTTAATTATTTTTATAAATTATAGTATAGTAGAAAAGTATTATACAAAATATTATATCATTTTATTATCTTTTCTATGGTCTCACTTGTGATATAGGATTCAACAGTTTCATTGTACTATTTTTAACTTTTGACCTAATATAACAGTTGTTGATCTATTATCATTATCAAGGTAGTACATTAATACAATCAACGTCTTTACTAGTTTAACGAAACTTCAGGCATGTTTATTTATAATAGTAAAAGAAATTCAGTTGAAATTTTACAAGTTAGAATACTTTGTAACAAAGTTATTAATATTCTTTCCTTCCATAATTTTACTATAAAATGAGAAATCGGCCTACTATCACCATGAATTGTAAACTGCAAACTTTAGCAGAACTTCCTCAAGTAACATGTTACTAAAGGTATAAAACAACCAATGGAAATGAGATTTTTTAAAACAACTTAGTGAATGCTTTTGTTGACCACAAAAAATAATACATATTGTAATTTTTCAACTATATGATCCTATCAATTAAGTACTGTTTTCATCCATTTATACAAAATGAAATAGTTTTTACAATTTATTTAATACAATAGTACAAATTACAATGTATTCGAATTTAAGTCTAATATATAAAAATATTTATCTACAAATGTAATAAAATCAATCTTCAACATCACAGTTTTCTTAGATCACAGCTAGAAGTTCTTAAAAATTAAAGTGTTTGATCAACTATTCTAGCTGGATTTAATATCTGTGTTAATAAATGATGAAGTTCCCTTGAACAGCAGTTGTCAAAGAGGGCTCCACGAAACGAAAAAGTGTTTCATCAGTTCAACTCACTCGTATTTTGAAAGTTGCAGATAGATTAAAGCAAAAAAACTTAAGAATAATTCATTAAGCATGAAGTTTCTAATAGTCTTTTTCACAAAATAATTTTTAGGATTGTTTATAAAAAATTATAATCTCGAAAGTTATGGAATGAGTAATGTAGATCCTCAAAAATCTGTTAAAAATTTTCGAAAATTAAAATTTTTTTAAATAGTATATTTAAATCAACATTCTGAGAATGTGAGTACAAAATTTAAAGTCTCAATATTGATTAGAAAACATTATAGAAATGATTTAATGGAATAGCATTGCCCCAAGGTATCGATATTTATAAGTATATTTTTATGAATGGTATTGAATTACCACTTTCAATTGCTATTGAATTATCACTTTGAACTGATTCAATTAGATATGAAAATTATTACGATAATTATTATGAGCCTGTGAAAAAAACTTTTATATCCCTTAACATCATTTTATAAAAAGCTGACAAATTATTAGATGAAATTTATTTAAATGGTAGTTTTCTTCTATTTCAATTTTCATGCTTAAATTTGATCATTAATGTGTTTTGTATATCCTTTATTAATTTTATTCTGCAAAGATTTTCTTCCAAAATTCGAATTAAATTTTTTATCAATTAAATACTACAAAAAACAAGTAATTTTGCAATAGAGTTCAGCTGTTTGTAACTAGCATTGCAGAGTTGGTGATACAGGAACTTGTGTTTTCTGACCTCTTGAAAATGAGGGGATAAATTTTTTCGGCAGAATATACGAAAGAATTTACGTAAGACGTATCAGAAGAATTTATGTGAGCTCTTCCAGAAATATTGTGGCTGTTTTTTTATCTGTACCATTACCACATAAGATAAGTTCTTACATAAGTTCTTCCAGAGGAACAATAAAAGAAACAGCATGATAGAAAACAGATTTATTAAGTAAAGACAAACCCTCATCGAAGATTACTGGCTTAATAATTTGAACAGCAATGCAATAGAAACAAAAAATCTGTTTAAAGTTTTGAAAAAAAAGGAAATAAACGAAAACATAGAAAAGGTAAACACATCATTTATGTTGTTATTTAAATTGATAACTATATGTTTCTATTATGTCTATATTCTATGTCACGCTATTCAATCTTATGCTCACGCTTACAGTTGAATTTGCTGGCCAAATGCCTAGCATACAAGTCCGAATAAAATCCTCATCTAATTACAATTCGAGAGTTATCCTTATTTTACTCCCGTATTCGCTGTATATAAATATCAGATTACGGGTCCAGCGTGAGGACTTCAAGTGAATAAAGGCTCGAGTTAGTAAGTGCGTTGGGCGCGTAAAAACGTTTTTTCTTTTTGAGCGACGAAGGCGAAGTGCTGTGTCAGGAACAAAGCGCTAAAAATGGCGACAAAGACATCGTTCGGAACGATGCAGTTTATCGAGCATCTTGCCAGAATTATCAAAAGTGGGCGATTGTTATGAAGGATTACTTCAAGGTAGAAGAACTCTGGGACACCGTCAAGGTAACCAGAGCCGCATCGCTATCCAACGGACGCTGAGACAAGTCTGTACGTGCATATGCAGGAAGTTGAGTTTCCAAGGTTATATGGGAGAAACTTAAAAAGGCGTTCATCGATGACGGTTTGGATAGGAGAGTGTACCTCGTGAAGGAGATTACGTCAATCAGGTTGTTTGAGTGTGAGTTTACTGAAAGCTACGTCGAGAATATCATTGGTGCGTCACAGAAGCTTCGAGGCCTAGGCACAAATTTGCTAAATGATTGGGTAGCCACATTTCTTCTCGCTGGTTTGCCCGAGGATTATCAGCCGATGGTAATGGTACTCGAAACACTCACCGACAGAGTGACTGCCGATCTAGTCAAGATCAAGATACTTCAAAAGGTTCGCATCGACGGCGCGACCAGTACTGTCAAGTCGCAGAGTCTATACACACATTTAAGTCAAATCGATGCTGAAACACGTCACGCAGCTGGCGCAGACAACACAACGAAAATTCGTCGAAGGACGAAAACAGTAAAAAAGAAAAAAAATAAATAAAACAAAGTGTTATAATTGTGACAGACACGAAAATTACGCGCGCGATTGTTCAACCGAATCTAACAAGAGACAACGCAAAGTCTATGTTGTTGACGTTCACGAAAATTCAGACGGTGATACGCAAAAGCCTATTTGCGGATTCATAAGTGTCACAAATGCTAATCTCATCTCTTTTAATACTATTGCAAATACGGGATACTCGAAGCTCGAATGTGCCAAGCGTCAAAATAGCATATAGCTCAAAAATACAAGTATGCGGTTAAGACGAGGTTATGTTGTCTCTAGTGGCAAATCAAGGCACACATAAAGTCAAGCTCCACAATGTTCTATACACTCCGGACATATCGGCAAATCTAATCTCTGTAAACTCTATTGTAAGAAATGACTTCTCAACGATTTTTGAAAAAGGGTATTGCAAAGTAATGGATCATGAGAGCAAAGTGATCTTGGCCGTAACTATGGCTCTAACTAGAGTTTGTTAGATTCCTGAAATGACATTATTTGCCATTGTCGATCCTCAAGATCTTGATTTTGCAGTGTGCCTGATTTTCTGCATACTTAATGAAGTGTCGATATCTTTGAGTAACTTGATCCTTCTTGTAACGGTCCATACCGATACATAAATTAGTTCTAACAAGAGAACCACCCCAACCCGACCTCGCCGATTCGAATGATTTTGGGATATGTTGTAGTACTTGAAAAAAAATTAGATACGTGTTTTTTTTATCGGCCCATAAGGGCTTTTAAGAGATGAAATCCATCCTGAAAATCAACCCCTAAAATCAGTTTTTTTAATATTTCTCAGCATCAAATGAATATTTTTCAGTAAACTCAACGTTAAAAAATTTCTTATAAAAAGGCGCTTTTAAGGACATAACATTTATACTGAAGGGTTGCAACCCCTTTTTAACAGGGGTAAATACACTATTTTTTGTACTGTTTTACGACATGTAATATAGTAAATCATATGTGAGTGATTTAAAAATCGCACTGATAATGAGAAAATACCAAAATTAAATTGAAGTGTTTCCAGATTTAAAAAAAAATATATTTAAGGGGTGTTTTACCCCCTAGAAACCATCCCCGTCAAACTATCAGTAGGTTAATCCACCTAACCCTGGGATAAACAAGTTTAGTCGTTTGTTATTTCTTGAAATAATTTAATCCTATGCATGAGCGAGCTACCTCAACTAAGCAACCTGCCTCTAACACACCAAACCTCCATAAACCACCCTTACCAAACCACATGCAGGCTAACCCACCTAATCCTGTGAAAAGCAACTTTAGTCGTTTGTTATTTCTTGAAATAATTGAATTTTACACCACAAGCGAGTTATCCCAGCTGTATAACATACCTCTTATCCACCTACCCCTAACCTATCTAACCCCCACCCTTATAAACCACCCTTACTGAAACACAAGCAGGCTAAACCTCCTAACCCTGGGAAACACGAGTTAAGTCATTTGTTATTCCCTGAAATAATTCAATCCTACGCTTGAGCGAGCTACCTCAACTAACCAACCTGCCTCTAACCCACCAAACCCCCATAAACCACTCTTATCCAACCAAATGTAGGCTAATAGACCTAACTTTGGGAGAATTGAGTTTATCAGTTACTTTTTCTTAAAATAATTGATTTCTACACCGTA